AGATCCGAGAATTTTGAAGTTTCCAAATCATTGTTTTCGTTTACAGTATTTAGATAAATTTTTCACGAAAGTGTAGTTTTGTAAATTTGTACAATCTAATTTTTGTACTTTACGAATGAAAAATGTACTCGATATTTGCAAAATGTGATTAGAGAAAGAGCAGTATTTCCATGTAATTACTAGGGGTAGATCAGAGTATTTTTCTAATTACTATTTGTGTGGATATTGGTGAATACTTGGATACTGTAATAATAAAGATTACTGTTGGTGCTGACCAGGTTGCATCTTATTTGGATCATTCGTAGAGCCATAAACAAGATTTAAAAATGACTTTACGCATCAATTTCAGCCCTGGCTCAATTTATTTTCTTTGACTTTAACCGGTCGACACTCTTGAGGTTGCTATGCCTCAAAAATTTTGAACAGTTTCTTTAATTGTTGATATTCAAATTCATGATCGACCCGACGGGGAAATTAGATTGGAGACAATCGATAGGAAACATGTAGGCTTACCATGAATCGATGTAGCTTACTGATATATCGGTTTCGCTCGGCGATATATCATTTTCGCTTCGCCGTTACGTAGTTTTCATCCGGTGAATTGTCGCAACCGCTGATAGATCGCTGAACAACACTACAACCAGCGAATTTTCCTTCAAATCTTCACTAAGGAAAGTGTGTAATCTGTTCGACTGCTAGCGCTTCCATCATGACAATGTCTAGAGCACTAACATGATTGGGCACTGTTCTTTTTTCACTGCATGCACCACGAAAATTGGAGCGTTCGTGGATATCTCATCGAACTCAAAACGAGAGTTTTAGCACTTTTAAATTACCCGCTGTCTAAGCCAACATTCAAGAAAAACTGTAGCGCTGCCATATCAGTTAAAAAAAATCCGGCCACTTACTTGCAAATTATGCTTTGAGATTTCCAAGCTCCACCAGAATCTTCAGTTCCAAAAGCGCGTCTTTGAGGTCTGTCGACCGAGTAGCCATAGTTCATCGTTCCATTTGTTACCGCACGGCAATACAATTGTAAATGTAAACTACGCTTCAGGATAGCTTAAAGTTTTTTTTAAAATTGAACCGTGTAATGGTCTCAGTAAGTTTGTGACGCGATAATTTGAGGTCAGAATAATTATAATCGAACCAAGGTTCGACGGAGAGCTGTTTTTGCAACCTCGTTCCCAGGGTCTCTCATCTTTCCGCCCCCTGGAGTGAGCGATATAGGCCTTTACACATTCTGCCGCCAGAATTTTGAGCATAATAGGGCCTCAGGAGCAGAATATATGATTGGGGCATAATCCGAGCAGAATAGGCTATTTTTGGCCATTTTGCATATTCTGGGGCCTGGGAACGAGTCTTAGAGGGAGCTGGGCACGAGCATCAAAGCAAAACAAGATGGCAGAACCAAACTCGCAACCTGTGGAAGTCACTGACCATGACGAAGGTCAAGAACCACAAGAAAGACAGGAATCATGGTTATCTCAGACTCTTTTTACAAGTTATTACCTTTGTTAGTTTTAAGGATTAAATAATAAATGTGTATATGTTGAGTTAGGGCGATAAAATGTCTTATTTATCATGTTTGAGTATTTTGAACCCAGGAATATCGATTTTTACAGAAGCATAATTCGAGCATAATAGTACTTTTGGAGCATGATCTCGAGCAGAATAGCCTTTTTTGGAGGCAATTCTTTAGAGCAGAATAGCCCTTTTTTTCGAGCAGAATGTGTAAAGGCCAAGCGAGCGAGGAGAGACCCTGGTTTAGGCGGGTCACGTGTTTAGAGAGTAAAAAAATTCCTTAGGGACGAGTTTGCTCGAATTTTGCCTAATATCCTTTGTCATCTTCAAATCGACGCTATCGTTGTTCAGGTCGCCACGTTTTTAGCAGCCTTCAAGTCGCTATATCTCGGAGTTGGTACTGTAACCTTAATTTAAAACCCAAACAAAAACAAATCTGTAGGAATTTTCCTGGTCATTGACAACATCTTTGCAAACATATCTGACAGCGGCTGAGTCAATCGAAGGTAGCTCATCATTTTGAAAGAAATTTGTCACCTTTCGTAAAAACACTTGCAACTCAGAAGCGGCAAAGAAGTATGTGGGACCGTCGAGACGTAACAAAAAACAAATCTGGCAAAACACTATCGAAGATACAGTTTTTTACCTCTTTTCCAGCCAAAGACTGCATTTGTGTTAGTGTTTTTACAAAATTTAGACCGCGACGTCTTCTCTCAGATTCGGCCCTTGCATCATAACCAGGGTGCGTGACACAGATTGTGATATTTCTGTACATCGCTTCACCGTTTCGATAAAACTCTGACTTTCACTGATCACTGTTTTGAAAGAAATAAAATTTTTCAAGCGTCTTTTCAAGGCCTACATAATAGATGTGGAAAAAACTTTTCTTGTCTCAACGGCCGGCCATAAATGTCCTCGGCGGCGGCGAGCGATGTGCGATTTCCTTTCGCATAGATGTTCTTCGTGCGAGATACGTCTCCAACTGATTTACAAAGCCTGTAACAATTGATATTTACCGTGGTGGAGGATTTACTGATCTTTTTGGGCGTCTGCCGAATATTCTCAGTTGACATTCGGTTCGAAGCGCTTCACGTGTAGTTTGTTTTGATTGCCAATACGCTACGCCAGTGGACTAAGTGGAGAGAAATTCCCACTTATCTGCCCCTCTCTCAAACTGCTTATTTGAAATCTGCTAAAATCTGGAAGACCCGTGACCAGCCTAAACGAGGGTCTTAAACATCACTTAGCTGCTTGGTTCCCAAGCACTTGAACAAACTGCGCCCAGTTGTTTCGCTGTCATTAACATGGAACCCAAACACAATTGACAGCTTGTCTCAGAAGTAGTGTATCTCATTTGTTGGTTTGGAAATTACCGTATTTAGCCGTATTTTGTGTATATAGCCAGCTACGGTCGACTGGGTCGTAAACCGATGTGCCTGTCATGTGGTTCAAGTTTTGCCGTTTTCGCAGCAGAAAGTAACGTTGACTTCCGGTGGAATCCCCCACTCCTGTCTCCCACATATGTGGGGGGACATACTGCAACTTTAGCAATTCTTAATCTATGATCAAAGCATATTTCAGAGGGTTGGGGGTTATTATCCCTTTCATCCGTGCATAAATTTGAAAATTTATAATCCAAGGGTGTGTAAATACAGCAAAAAACAAACAAATAAAACGAAACAAAAACAAGGTAGATGATCCAAACATGCCTTTGGCACCATGGTTTGATTGTTATTGATGTTTTTGTGTGTCTCATTGTATTCTTAGTTAGAATGAAAAAAAAATGTCAGCAAAATAAATAAACTGTCACGTTTATTCTCCAAAAATAAAGAAGTACTCTACAGTTCAACAACACTTACATGTTTAGATTTCTATTCTTCCTAAATGTACCCTACCCTCCCCTCCCCTCCCCCTCCCAACTGTTCTGCTGGTCAAATCTAAAGGCAGAGTTGATCAAATAATTATGTACTAGAAATATCAGACGACATTTAAATATTTTGAATTCATATTCAATTAAAATAAATCATTTGATCTGTACCAGGTAACAGTTCATACTATAACTGTACACCAACTGTCGTCAATTATATTAAATAGATCCTATACTTAGTGAGGGCATTTCAAATATGTCTGGAATTCTTATAAATTAATGTAGATGCATAGGATCAATTTATATTAGAGCTAGGATGCTTTGTAATAAATTTCTGCTATATAACCTGCTCCAAATAAATTAGGATTACAAAAAAGAAAAAAACCTTTGGCTAATTAAATATCCACAGTCAAAGTGACCATTCCCTACGTTAGTTTCCATATGTGGTGTTCTTACAAGGGTGGATCGAGACAGTTAAAAAAGGGAGGGTTAAGAAAAGTGGCGAAAGCAAAGTCTCAAGCCTTAAGCCTCGCTCCATTTCAGCAAATGAACCAAAAATATAAACAAAAAACAAAAAGAAACAAATAAAAAGCAATATTAAATTCTTAGAAGAGGAAATGGAGGGGGAGGGTGTTAGGGTGCGCGATGCACTCTGGACTACTCAATAAAGACACACGAGTTCTCATCCAATATGGCGTCCTGTATTGCATAATAACTTGGTGTCAGGAGTGGGATTGCCTTTACGCCCCATCCCTTGCCTTAACTCCTTCAAGCGACGGAATCTACGAGGTTTCAATTCAGACGTACACTCTCGACGACCTCTGACCGAGAAACGACCTCGTAAGAACCAAATATGGCCGAAGGCAAGCCACCAAACCTTTCGTTCCGCGAAGACAAAGCAGCCAGTGTAAGAATTTGGCGCAGGAAATTCAATGCCTGGTGCCTGCTACAGCGAAAATGGAGGGACGCCAGCAAAAGCCCAACGACTCCAGAGCACTGGGTCCCAGAAAAGGCTCAATCCGAAATAGCGGCTTTCTTTCTCGCCCTCCCGGATGATGTCTTGGAAATTTTTGATACCACAATCCTTCCGAAAATGACAACAGAAGAGAAAAAACAGCCATGGACATATCAGCAGCGTTTAGAGGGTCATTTTGTCGGTCAAGACAACGTCATGCCCCAACGACTAGCTTTCTTCAATTGCACACAAAAACCTAACGAATCCGTCACAGATTTTGAAACCCGAATCAGAAGCATTGCCCAAAAATCCAAATATTCCGAGATGACAGACCCCCTCCAGGAGCTCATGCGCGACCGCTTATGCACAGGAGTCCACAACAAAGACCTTAGAGAACTACTCCTTCATCACTACAAGGAAGACGGGAAAACACCCTACACATTCGATGAACAACTTGCTCGTGCAAAGTCCTGGGAAGCAGCTCACAACACCAACCTAGCCATTATGCACTCTACCAACCCGAACCTCGAAGAGCAAGTCAATCAATTGGCAACGAAACCGACACCACCCCGTCGTGGAAACTGTGGTTGGTGCGGAGGCCTTAGACATCCCCGCAAGGACTGTCCAGCGACCAAACCAGGTACCTACTGCACCAATTGTTATATGACTGAGAACCATCTTGCCAAGGTCTGCAGATCCCCCAAAGACAAGTTCAAGTTGGATTTTGAAAAGAAACAAAGAAAACAAGCCAAGCACCCTCCCCCTCGGCGCTCAGACACTGTTCACCACTTCTCTCAAGGGAACGATGCATCTGCAACGTATCTTGATGATGATGATGACTACGTCGTCCACTCTTTCTCAGCTTTTGCTCTTTGTGACGACATGGAGGACGACAAATACTTCACCTGGCTCCCAGTCTCCGTTAGCCCTGAAAAGAACATAAAAGTGCTAATGCAAGTAGACTCTGCCGCATCCTGTAACACCTTACCATCATCAGT